AAATGATCCTGGGTCTCATCTCTGAGCACACAGGTTTTATGGGCCATTAAATTATCAGTTTACCTCCGCTGGATTGTCACTCATGACCAAAGACATCTAATTAATTTAACTTGAAAAATAAGGGAGGGCTGTTTTTTATGATAAAGCACACTGTTTTAAAGAAGTGAAAAGAAGCAAGGAATGTGAAAGAGACCATGAAAGAGGAATGGTATAAAGAAAGATGGAGGGCAATTTAACTTTCATCTTTGTGCTGAATAGCAAAAATGTGTACATCCAATCTCTTGCCTGAACTGTAGACTCACATATGAAATTACCTTTTTCATTCTGGGTATCTTTGAGGTCTGTCTGTATTTATTTTTAAAAATTGGGCTCTAAAGTCAAAACCTTAACCTCAAATCTTAGTTCTTCCACCTACTAATTATGTAAGTCAAGGTAGTTTACTTAAATTCTCTGTCTGGGATTTTACCTACGTAATGGGAGAGTTATTAAGAAGTCAATACCTGCAAAGCTTTAGAATTAGTACTGGGTTATGTTTGCCCATTTCCAAAATATTGGTTTTGATTACCCATCGTATATTCTCTTCCCAAATATGTCCTTCCTTAATTTTTTCTATGCATGTAAATGATGCTACTCTCAAAGCATCTTTGAGGATGACTAAATATAACAAGCTATTTAGTTAAGTGATAAAACACTGAAAAGTAACATTGAAAGCCAAACATTGCAATAAAGACAGAAAGTTTTTTTCATATCAAATTAAGTTTAGGATGGAACATTAGGTTGGTTGAAATAATGAGTTGGCTGAAAGACATTAATAAAGATAGTGTTATTATCTAATGTGTGCCTTAGAATGTAAAACTGCCACCAATTCCTTATGTACAAATATTTTCTAGACACTAGGATTTTAGCAATAAACCCAATATGAAATCTTTTCAAATTATTCTTAGAATTTAGCAGAGGAATCTAATGAGCAAGTAGATAACACATTACAACTACGATATGCATTATAAAATAATAAAACAGAAAAAAGGGGACAGATAGAGCAAACTGTGTAGCTGTTTCTCCATGCAGGGTGTCAATGGAAGGCCTCTAGAACAACTTTAAGTAGGAACTAGAAAATGCATGAAGTAGAGTTATCAATAGCAAAGCCTTCTAGACAAAAAGTGAAGTTCACTGAATAAGAGGACGACAACCAAGAATCAAGAGTCTGCAGCATGGAGAAGAAGACAGAGAAGAGGTCACAGAGGGAAGTGATGAGGCAGGTCATGGACAGTTTTAAGGATGATTTTTACTCTGAGTGGAAAGAGAAGCCATCAGATGTCTTGAACCAGAGAAGTGACTGCATTGTGCAGTTGTGCTAAAAATGCATTGAGAAATGTCAAGAACAGAAAGACAGAGGGCAAATGGGCCTTGTTAGGTGCTGTCTGGGGAGGGATGATTGTGAGGAGAAGAAGCTTGAATAACTGGGGAAAACAGGAATGTGTGATGTCACTTCCTATGGCAATGGCTAGGAAGAGATTAAAAGCCTTGACTTTAGAAAAGATCACTGGCTTTGGGCTTTCTCTCACCTCCTGGTATGATCTATCAGCCAGTCTTGTTAGTGAATCTACAAAACGCACATTGAATTTATTGTATTTCTAAACACAGAATGTGGGGAGATTAATGACGTATCACATAGGCAGTGAGATAAGATCCAATGCCTTCCTGTGGCACATTCTTGAATTGGTTTTCTTGGTTAGTCTTTACAACACTTCATTCTGTGAGTGGAGACACTGTGATTCAAAAGCATTTTAAAAACTCTTTTAAAAATCACACATGGTACTAAGTGAGTCACCAGTGTCCAAAGCTAACATCTTTTTCAATTCAAAGCTTTTGTGTTGTCATTAAAGATAAAGGACTAAATGGGAGGATTTTTAAGTTAAAGATCAAGAAAATAAGCAAACAGCATGAGATTTTCTTCCTCTTTATAGCAAACCATAGTTTTAAAATCTGAAAGTAAAGAAAGTGCAAGGATGGAGAGTAGTGTTCCAGCCGAGACTTGAAAAGCATGGACAATGCTCAGAATGGACATTTGGGGATTTAAGTGAAGGGTCAATATTTTAAAAGAAGAGGAAAATCACTGAAGATCTGTTGACATTTGTTCCTATGGTCCTGAACTTAGCCAGGCAAGTGTCAGAACCATTGATGGCAGGAGTCTAGGCCTCATGTGTGGACCACATGGGGTGCAGTGACAGTGGCTACAGGAGGTGGGGTCTGCTCCTAGAATCAGAAGAGGACTCTGGCAAAAGGCACATTTTTGTTTTGTATTTGGATGCATTGAGATTTCGCCGCCATCCTTTCCTTTACTTTCTAGACACCTGGAGTTTTATCTGTGTTTTTAGGTACTCAGAGAATCTGACTTGTTTTTTGTTGGTAAAACTTTGCACTCCATCTCTGCTTTTATTTTGTTTTTCAGTATCTTAGATTGTTCCAGCAACTACTTGTGATTTCTCAGGAAGAGCTCTTACCACCTCTATCAGACCGATTGTGCAGTGGCTTCTTTGCATGCTCTGAATACTTTGAGAACTGGCTAAACACTTCCTCGCTCCAGAACCTTCTAACTTCCCACTAGATTTCAGTCTCAATATAGATGTTTTTTGCAATCACTTTGAGTCATTGTTTAGATTGTTTTATTAATTTTTTTCTTATTTATATTTTACAGAGAAAACCAGAAAAATTAAGAAGCCAACAGACATTTAAAACACAAAAAAAGCAAAATGATGATGACAGGAGCAGCAACAACAACAAAAAAAAATATGTCAAGATAGGATTTCAAAACAAAATGGTAGGAGCTTAACAATGGCTGCTATATTGCATATTCTTACCCCCAAAGAAATTGCTCAGGCTACCAGATACAGGCATGCAAGACTGAACAAACAAGACTTTCCTTTTTGCTATGTCTTAAATAGATTGTTTTTAAGAGAAGCTTTATGTTTGTAGAAAAATTGAGAAGGGAGTTCAAAGTTTCTTCTATTATTAGCATGTTGTATTAATGTGCACATTTGATGAACCCATATCGATCATTATTATTAATTAAAATCTATAGTTGACATTAGACTTTCTCCTTTCTATGAGTTTCAGCAGCTATATGATATTGCCACAGTATTCACCATTACAATATCATAGGAGTTCACCACCTTTAAAATCCCTGTGGTGCAACTGTTCACACATCCTTTCTGGACTATTTTAACTCCAGTTTTGCTTATATGCCCTAATATTCTGCTATTACCCCTAAGATCAAATTTTAGACATTTCTATATTTCAATCTCTAGAAATACCCTTCTCACCTACTAGCTGATTTATATTTTCATCTGTATTTCACGTTTTCCAATTTCACCCTGAAACTCTGTTAATTTCTTCAAAAATGTAGCCCTGTATGTGTCTCTGATCATGGCCAAGCCTCCTTGATCACGTCAGCCTGCCTAACTCTCACTTAGCTTTCTTGCTAAGCTCCCAAGAAAAATCAAGCAGAGAATGAGTTCTGGAGAATGCCCACTGCCCTGGGAAAATCTGGTTTTATACACTTATGAACCGAAGATCTATCTCAATTCAGCTGACACAGGGTAGCTTAGAGCTTGAGTGGCAAATCAGATTGTTATTAGTTAACATGGCAGAGAATGAAGTTTGATATAGCTTGGAGTGGCCAGGTGAACCTCCAGTTTTAAGTAAAAATTTCCCTTAAATGCTTGATCCATCCTGAACATTCATGACAAAGACCCTAAGAAAATCAGTGGAAAACAAAACCTGAAAGATTGAGAGTGTCCCATGAGAGATTCTAAGTGTTGCCTATAACACAGTGGTAGAGATTGACTTTTGAGACACACATAGTCCTTAAAAACTGTCAACTCAGAATTTGTTAACTGGTATGAATATTATTCACAAGTAAAGATCAGTAAAGACACTGTAAATCAACAAAAATCAAGAGCATATGTCACGTACAGAACTATACCTCAGGACATTCCAGAGAAAGTTCTTTGGGCTCAATGATGCCGGATAGAAGCTCAGATATTAGAAGGAAATACAGAACCCAGGAACAGAAATATGTTGTGCAATACCAGCAACTGCCTCTTTAACAAATTGGTTAAATCAAAACTATATTTTGTTGTGGAGCTGACAAAATATAAATTTGTAACCAGTAGCAGAAATTATAAGCTAGGCATAAAGAAGATTTCATATGTTGCTGCAAGTTTATTAATTTTTAACATAAAATGGCACAATATTAGTGTCAGATAGTATGTGGACAAAAACATGTATTATGATCTCTCAATTAACCACAGACAAAAAAACAAGCAAACAAAAAACAGACAAGCTGCTAAAGAAAGCACTATGGAGATAAAATAAAATATTAAAATAATTTTGATTTGCCACCAAAAGGGGCAGGAGAAGAAGGCACAGAGGACATAAAAACCAAATATTGAATGATAAATCAAAATCCAATCATTCAACAGCTATCACAAAGACATAATACTTATAAACATATATATTTAATAATAGTTTCAAAATATTATAGCAAACACAGACAAAACTAAAGAAACAAATAGAATTTTAAATATATTTTGAGAATTCAAAGAACAAGGAGATAGATATAATCATGAATAAACCTTGCTTAAATTCTAAAACTAAATAATTAGATCCTAAGGTATTAAACTTTTAAAAAATTTTAATTAATAGTATTTAGGAAGAAAATATAGTATGAATTGTGATTTCATCATAAGCCATATACTGACAAAATGTTTGGGATGTGAGTTTGGCAATATTCGGCCTTCTTCTAAATGTTTTTGTATTATAAGAAATTTTTCAAATTTAGTTTTCTGTTGTCAATCAATTTTCTTTACACAAAGTTGATACAATGATATTATTGTAAGACTTCTGCATTTGACACCACAGCCTAATGCACTGCATTACACTTGAAATTAGTTTCCAACTGAACCTTCAGGTGTGAGATAAATTAAATGAATTCTTACCTTAAAGACTAGTTCTCCTACCAAGCCATTCCATGTCCCATCTTCTTGTGGACTTCCATACTTGTGATCTGGTGCAACATAAATTTCATAGTTGAAGCCAAGGTAGTTGGATAAGGCATCCAGAACATCAATGGAGAAGCCCTGGTATTTCTTCGGCTTCCCCAAGACGTTTTCAGAGACCATGACAAAGGGCTCTTCCTAAGAAAATATAAGAAACATTTGCCTTCAGTCAGTGTCCTTCTGGACAAGTGAAGACTAATTCTTTAAAGAGTTTTGCTTGTAAAGTCTAACCATTTGGAAGAATAAACTCAGGAGACAATGTACATTATTAATACATCATGTCAGTGAACCATGCTGAGAGCCACTAAAACAGTTTAGGGTTCACAAGTTCACGTTCTCTACCCTCTCAGGAAGAATCTGAACTTCTTCGGCAGTAAAGAGAATTTTGAAAACAATGTTTCTATAATACTTACTTCAGATACTTTTGTCTCTCTGTCTCCCAACACTCCCATCTCTCTGTCTCTCTAGATATAGATAGATATAGATATAGATATAGATATAGATATAGATATAAATATAGATATAACTATAGATATGACAGACTTTATTTTGGTCTTTTGAGACTGAGTCTTGCTATTTGTTCAGCTGGCCTTGAACTCACTATGTAGTCTGGAGTGTTCTCAAACTCACAGCCATCCTGCCTCAGCCTCCCAAGTGCTGGGATTTCAGGTGCCCAGATGCCTATACTTTTACATATATAGAGAAAATGATAGTTATCACGTGAACTCTACATGATCTTCTGAAAGTATCAAATATTCCAAAAACAGTTTAGCTAAAAGTTATAACATCTAAAAAACTGGAAGTTATTTGCCAAGTAATTCTACAAATTTGATATGAACATGCATTTCACTTTAAGAACAGCTTCTTTACTACTTTAAGAAAATCATTCATTTAGTAAACTAATTTGACGTATTTGGCAAGTTGATTTCTTTGTAAGTCCTTTCATCTATCTGATTCTAATAGGCTCAGGGTCTACTTCAATGTGTTGATTGACACAAGACACAGCCACTGGCCAAGGCGATATTTTGCCCAATCAACTAAGTGAAAAGTTGAAAATTCTGCCAATTGTCTGAAAGTTTTTTATTTAACTTAAAATATGCAAATAAAGCAGAATAAAGTTGATGTATTTGGCAAGTTATCACCTCTTTCATCTGCTCTAATTTTGGTTTAAAAAACACATTATCCCTTTTCACTTTGGAACATTCAATATTAAAAGAGTTCACTTGGTTTGAAATATGCTGACAGACAACAGAAAATTAGATACTCTGTTCCTTAGTTCCTAATCTTGTTCAGAACTCTTTGAACAGTGTTAGTGTTTACGTATAACCAATCACAGTCTATGTAGTCCTGCAGTCTCTAGGGCAGTTTAAAATCTTGCTTTGGGTCTCAGTCAGAATACTGAAAGATTCTCTCATTGAATCATTTTTCCTTTGGAATGTCCCAAATCACTTTTATTCAGATGTAAAATAATACTGTTTTGGTTTTGGCTTTATTCAAAGACACTAAATAAGTTCCTTATGAATTCAGTGCATCAGTTACATGAATATTATATGCCATAATACTCAGGTTTTTTCCTAAAAATTATCATGAGTTAAATTTTTTAATTGTTAAAGGTCAAAGAGTTTCATTTTGCTGCAAAAATGCCTTTTTCAAAATATAAAAGTAATTTAGCTAGCTATTGAGTTATCCCTTTTTACAAGCATACCCAGGAAATCAGTATGACTTTTGCCCTGGTGATTGCCAGGAATATGCTTTTCAGAGAAACAAGACAATAGTCAATATCCCTGGTGCTTGACATGCTGTACCAGATTGTATCTGCCTCTCTGCAATTCTAGAACACTTTAAAAAAAAAAAAAAACATTCCAATCTTCTTTATTAAGGCACTCATCTTCTTGATATAATAGAATTTGATAGTAATGAAGTTGATGCATTATTAGATCAATTGATAAAAGATTTTGACAGTGCATAAAATTGCTAGTAATACTGACTTATTTACATGTTATAGTACATGAATGAGAAGTAAATATTCAGTCAATCCTTTAATATTTTATGGAAAATTCAACACATTTTGATGATTCTGCTATATCTACATAATTTAGTTAAATAATAAAACCTCCAGACAATTGGTAGAATTTTCAACTTTTCATTTAGTTGTTTGGGCAAAATATCATGTTGGCCAGTGGCTTTGCCTTGTGTCAATCAACACATTGAAGTAGACCCTGAGTCCATTAGAATCAGACAGACAAAAGGACTTCCAAACCAAAGATCATCTCTGGGGAACCTGTTAGTGTGATCAGAACATTGTGTCTTTAATGTTATAAATGCTAGTTATGGACATCACACATTTATTCATCTCTAAATTATGATCTATTGATTGCCAAATGAATTGGGAAAGCACTCATGAAATACCTTACTTGATTGATCCTCCCACCAACAAATTTGAATTATAAACATTCTCTATTTTCATGAATCCTCTAAAACTAACAAATCTGTTCAATTTGGCAGTAGTATAATGACTGGAAATTTCAATAAACCCTTTGTGGTAAATGGTACTTCAAAGGTAAGAAGTTGACTCCATTACATAGTTAAGTGATAAATATGGAAAAATAATATACCAGTGTACACGCTTATATAAACTATTAACAATTCCTTTTCATTTTATTCATATCACTTTAGATTGATTGTTTAATATACTCAATTATTACATGTTGAATTTTTTCCTAAGAATGATTTTAATTATTTGTTTATAAGTAAATCTCTAGATGCATAGATTCTTTACTACGTTATCAAAATCTCTACCTTGCAATGTCAACTACAATTGATTGAAAGTAAGAATAAAAATAGACTAAGGGTTGTTTTAAAGAAAGTTGATGAATTATTGATGAACATGCCTTTTAAAGTTTATGCCCTAAATAAACCTTTATTACATCCCATCACTCCTCATCTGGATCAATGTTTTTAAAGCCTTATTTTTAAGCTCTATTACAGAGTTGGATCACTATTCATAAATTTTAACTCAAGCAAGTTGTTTTCGTGGGGACAGTCAGACAATATATCAGACAGGTAAACAGCGACAGAAATTAGACTGAAGCTCTGGGAACTATAATAGAAGGAAAACACTTGTACTTTCTCTGTGGCAACACTGAGCTTGGCTTAATCACTTTTATATATGTACCTATTTCCAAAATTTATTCACTCATTGACTAATCCATTTAACATCTGTTAAGCAGCTCCTTCAAATTACTGCACTCTATACAGGGAGAGAGAAAATAAGAAGTCATCAGCACCACCTTCAAAATAATTATAGCCAGTTGGCAGAAATGGGTACTAAAGGTACTAAAATATATAAAACAAAAGCAACACATACCATAACGGCCCCAGAAGGAAAATAAAGGAAGACAAAAGAAATTAAAATAAGTAAAATCATGATTTAGAGCCTATCAGCCATCTACTTCTTCAGTAGATGAGAAGACTTAGGGACAAAATACTGCAGCTCAAAGTCACAAAATCACCTACCCAGGAGGAAGTCATTAAAACTTGTCAACTTCATCTTTCTAAATTTTAGGTTTTCCAGTCTTTTGGATTAAAAGCCAAGACTGCATAATTTATTTCAAATTTTAACAAATTAAGATTTTACTAGACTGGTAGAGTCTATAGATGCCTAACACAAAAAGCACACTCAAACAAAAACAAAATCTCCTTTTATGGAAAGTACTTTAATTTTAGGACTCACAGTCTTCCTTCTCAAAACTTCTGAATAAAATTAACTTCTAAATAAAAACACAGGACATTGGTGAAAGGAAATAATACTTTAGATAACAGAGCTAACAAACACGAATGACAGAAATAGATACTTCAAGATCAGACATTACAAGTTTCAGAAGAATGCTATTCTTATTGTGTTTAAATAAATAAAGGTTCAGTGTCTTTATTTTGATTACTTTTTTTTTTTTGTTGAGACAAAGTTTCAGTATCATAGCCCAGCCTGGCTTCAAACTTGCAGGAATCCTCCTGCTTCAACCTCTTGAGAGGTGAGATTACATGTGTGCACCGTCATACCTGGCTCAGGGGAATTTTTTTTTTTAATTGATGGGAAACTGCAGACTAGAAAAATGCCGAATAACAACCAAATAGAAATTGAAAATTAGAAAAGACAATAAGCAATTTAAGAATGTAATAGCTAAGTTTATTAGCAGATGAAGAAAGAAATGGTAAATTTCAATAGCTTGAAAATAATTTCTACACTGCAACAAGAATAAACAAAAGGATAGAAAATTCCAGACCAAAAATAAAAGAGAAATGGCCCAATCATTTCAAGTACTGTCAAGCACATAAAGTAGTAGGAGCTATCATTTATTACTGCTGGATATGTAAACTGGTTCAACCATTTGGCAAACATTATGACATACGTGATACAGCATGAAAATGCTTATATACAAATTAGCATTGCTTGTTTTTGAGTGGTATATAAATATTTATCTAGCATGCAGGCATGCATAACTGAGTTTTAACATTCCATTCATGGGTATGAACAGTAGGAAAAATATACATGGGAATGTTGATAGCAACATGGTTTGCAATAACCCAAATATGAAAAAAAGAATATTCTAATGTATGTCAAGATGGAAAAGATAAGTATATTTGGTATATTGATACAGTAGAATATTAAATAGTTCAAAATTTAAGGGCTTGTAGACATATATGAATATGAAAAAATTTTTACAGCAATGACTTCAGTGAAAATGCCATCCAAAGACAATAATTTAATTTTTGCAATATTCAAAAACTGGTGAAATTTTGATATTTAAGAATTGAGACCTTCTTTTGGGCACTGCAGTGTATGCCTATGATACAACACTTGGAGCCTGAGCCAAGAGAATTATCCCAAGTTCAAGGACAGCCTGGGCTGCATAGTGAGTTCAAATAAAGGCTGAACAACATAGAAAGACCCTGTCTCAAAAACAAAACAAAAAAAGAAATAAAACAAAGCAGCATCAACAAAAAGAACTGACATCTTTACCGAGGAGACATTATAAAGAAAATTAAGGAGGTGATCACCTCTGGGCTGTTAGCTCCAGAATGCTTGAAGGACAGGGGCAAAAAGATAGTTTTTTACTTTTGTTTCTAGGGAGCTATTA